TTGTTGTTAATGACGTTTCATAGTGAGAGGCTGAATAAGGAAAATTCGTTTTTACATCATTTGTATTTTTAAACTCGCGACTGAATCTCTGAAACCTATCTATCGCTTCTCTACATTGTCCTGTAGAGACCACCTGATGCAAAGTTCTGATTTCAGTGAACTTTTCCGTATCCACAAGCAATAATCAAGCCAGACGATTTGACGAGTAGTTTCTTTAAATATGTATCTAAAATTTCTATTGGCGTCGTAAGCTGTTTCGGTCCAGAGTGAACCAGAGTCAGCGAATGAAGACGATATATACAAGTTTTAAATTATTCTGGTCTTGTCCATAGGCTTAACTTGATTAGATATGATGATTGTAACTACCCCATGATTATAACTGCCCCTATATTTAGGCTCCTTAAGTGCGGCTAGAACAACTGAGCGAGGCAAATGAAAGAGAAAGCCAAGATTCAGTGCAAGGCTGAGAAAGGGAAAGGTAGGGTCCTCCATCACACCTTTCTTCCTTCCTTCCTTCCTTCGTCTCACCTCCATCTTCCCCTCGATGCTGCAGAACCCTGTTGTTTTTCTTATGGCCCTTCATAAATCACGATGTCGACCCGTTTAAAATTAATCAATCCCTATTCATAGACCTCATTGTGCATGGATTCAAACACATTTGCATCTCAATAGGGACTTCTGTGAAAGCACAAAATGAGTACTCTCTAAATGGGTCCTCAAAGTGAGAAATGCTTCTCTCATTTGTTCCTCTTAATGATATAGCTGCGCTGTGACGAAGATATATCCGGATCTGATTGCATCCGCTTGCAACTATCGCCGGGAATCACGACAATAACTGGATCCGTCTTTTTCCGTGCTTTCTGTGTTATTGTTGGAAGCTGGTGCAAGGCAGGATCAGATTTCGATTAAAATGGTGCCATCGCAACGACAGCTTATTCACCTTCCACATATCTTTGGATCATGGATGATGCAGCTTTTAGTATGATTGATGTCGTTGATTGTCTTTGATGTTCTACAAGTATTTCACATTCGAGCAAGATTCATGAGCGCTATACGTATTTTCATACAGTCAGTCAAATGAAAATGATAAAATCGCAATATATAAAATAATTCCCAATTGATGGACGTCCAATACTTTCAGTGCATGTTTGCAGAGATTGTGTGAATATCAGTTATAGCTGGCAACACCGTGGGATCAGAAAGAACTGCGCTATCCTTTAAGCAAAATGGCGCTCACAGTTCCTTGGGCACCCAAGGAAGCCCGGCGTGCTGTAATTCAATTTCGGATTGCTGAAAGTGTGTCACGCATCGAAATTCATTCCCCAATGAGTGCTGTTGACACCAACAGCTTTTTATCACGAGTGGTGGAAACGTTTCCAAAGCGGGCTTGAGAATTTGTAGGATGACTCACGCCCAGGTCAGGCCAATTATGTCGTCTCAGTAATGAAGATCGCGAAGGTGGACGAGCACATACGAGGCAACTGAAATGTTTCAGCGAATGAATTGGCTGCAGATTTGGGAATCAGTCACGGCTCAATTCGCACCATAATCAGCGTCCAGCATAGCATTTCGTTTCCGCACGGACGATGAATTGCAGGAGACATTCACATGGTGGAGCAAACAACAACCACATAAATTTTATGAGGCTAGTATAATAATAAAAATATTGCGAAGCGTTGGAATCTGTGTTTCGGCAGTGGTGGGGAATACTTGGAGAAATAATACACTCACTGCTAGAAAAAATTCTTGTTTTCATTAGACTGACCTTAAATTCAGAGGCAGCCTGCCAAAGATTTTCTCACATGGTTGTAGGAATTATAATTTGGCATCCTCGGAGAACGGAGAGAATGTTTTTTTTTTTTGCAGCATGATAGAACTTTTGTGTCCACCTCTGTAAGAAACGCAGTGGCGAACACTTTCCTCTCACTATGATAGATGTCGCGACTTTCTCCTACTCCCCAAAATTGTCTCTGTGCTGACTGTTGATTGTACGATACTTGCAGGTGCATCGGTCGCCTTTTTGTTCATCATATGGGCAAATTACTCATCTCCCGAAGTTGCAATCAAAGTTGGATGAGTCCCATTAATCACCTTCAATCTGGATTGGAATGGTTCGAGAAAGTGCTGATTTTGTTGGTGTTTTCTCTCTCTTTTGGCATAGGGGAGGCATCTTGCTTCCCCTCTAATAATATTTTATAATAATATTTTTGATTCTGTGACTTTGGGCTTCTGTAATTTCTCATATTTTCCTAATTATCATTATGTCTTAATTCAAAATGATGTCTTCCTCCCCATTTCTCAATGAGTAAAATGAATTAGAAAAGCTATTTCCCCATAAACATTCGCAAGATTCATTCCTTGTTCTCAATCTTTAAGCAAATGCAAACGTTATTCACAGCCAGATGATGAACTGACCCACTGAGATTTGAAGCATGCTGGGAATGGAGTTATTTTTAAATTTGCCATAAATTTACTGACTGAGCAGCCGAAAAAAAAAACTAAACTATTCTCCCAAAATAGCTGTTTGCCATCGAAATCACAAGCACACAGGTTTTTCGGGCCATCTAGGTTCTTGTGGCATCCTTGTAGGATGGCATTCTGTCTGGGAGTGAGAAACTTGATTTTCAAGCATTTGGTCCTCTAATTACAGAAGTATGATGAAAAGCGGCACTACTCCTTTTTACCTCCTCCTTGCACGCCCACCTTAAGAACCTTGTGGTGAAACGCGTGAAGACCCAGAATTTCCAGCATTGCCTTGGAGGAGTCGAGAACGAGGGGAGTTCGTGAGTCACAAATGGACGGAAGAAAATGGCAAATCATAACCTTTGCCTTCTCATTGCCACGCTCCTATGAGGAGTTTTGGAGTGCGTGTTACAGTAAGTTGCTTCGAAATGTGAACTGTGGGATGTTACAAACGGTGAAAGAGGCACTCTTAAATTAAAAAAGAACTGCAAATATTTTTCACTGGCCAGCACCATTCTGATGTCATCAGGAGTCTGATCATTATATTTATTTAAAATGGGTCGACTTGAGTTGCATCGTTTGCTGACAGTGGCCTTATATTGTTCCAAAGGCTTGGGTGAAGTCCTAAGTAGGTCCCTGACAAAAAAAAAAAGCCGGCAGGAGAGGCAGACTCAAAATGTTTCCCATTTTGAAGAATAAGTCGGACTGACATTTCATGATATATGTCCCTACTTTGCAAAGAATTTCTCGAGAAAGGATTCGTGACGTCATCCCACCGTGAGGTCTACTTTTCCACATTTTCCTTTCTCTCCAATCTGCTATGCCCATAGCAGCTCTTTGCGTGAAATCAAGTGGGAATGGAAGTGGAGCCATCCGCATCCAATCGTCGTTCATCCGCAGTTAATGTCGTAAATTGGATCGAAGGTTAAACAATACCGTTCAAACTTAATGAAAAGCCTGTACAGCAGTGGCGTGTTTTACTGTGGGGGGGGGGGGGCAGCCGCCCCCCTGGCGCCCCTGGGACAGCTTGGCGCTCCCTTGGAGGTAATAATTTCCCCACCTGGGGCCCGTTTCTCGAATCATACAAGTAGTACAAGTTACAAGTATTAGTCTTGTAAGTAACAAGTTTATGTTTCTCGAAGAATTAGGATCCCACTTGTAATTACAACTGTGTGCGCTTGTAATTTATTAGTGTTGTTGGGCAAAATACAAGTTTACGTTTCTCAAATGAGAAGTCAGGGAGCATATACTTGTAAAACACCAGAGAACTCTTACTAGTCTCTGGACGTAGGTTAAACTGTTCACAACTGCAAGTAACGCCATGGTTTCTAGCGATTCTGATGATCCTGAGGATGATGTGCCGGTGCGCGATGTGCACGAAGTTCATCAACGAGTGGTTCAGCCACGAGCTAGATTTGATTTGCTGAATATTTACTGCTTCCATGAGCGGTTTCGGTTGAAACCGAGTGATATGGAGTACCTTCTTCAGAGTATGCGGCTTCGTCTCGAACGACCCACTGCGAGAAGTCATGCACTGGCACCAATGGATCAAATCCTCATTGCTCTTCACTGGCTTGGCAATGGAGGGCAGTACATGCACAATGTCTCCAAAGCATCTGTGTACAGATGCGTTCACTGTTGTGAACGCCATCAACTCAACCCTTTTCCCAATCCACGTGGACTGGCCAACAACGGATGTTGCTGAGATTGCAACTAAGTTCTATGGGTTGACTCAAGTGCGACCCGGAATGCCCTACGTTTGTGGTTGCGTTGATGGCACTCTGAACAGAATAGTTTTCTTTTCCCGAAGGAGGGTGAGCACAGCCAATGTGCTCTCCGTGCGTGCCATGTTCTTTTGTGGACTTGTGAACTTTGACCCTGCAGTAATAAAATACAAGCGTTTCCTAAAAGATTTTCAAGAAACAGAATTTACAAGTACTTGTAAATACAAGCTATTTCTTGTAAACTTGTAGACTTGTGAACTTGTAAGCTTCGAGAAATAGGCCCCTGGTATCGCTCGGGTGGGGTTTGGCGCCTCCGCGCTGTTGCCCTGACCCCCCTGACCCCTCAGCCAAAATACCCCACTGCTATACACGTTAATGCACACGGCATTCCAACTTTTGTTTTACAAGGCACTGAAAGTTAATGTAAGTTCAGCTTCGTTGCAAACGTCATACTCAGGTTCCGCTCAAAAACGTATATGGAAGACTGAAAGGAGCACTGGACACTTTCTCATGCCGTTCCACATCAAGATAGCATAATTTTATATGTAGAAGGAGAATCTCTGCTCCGCTAGAGCTGTGCACGACATGTCACGGGATTTCCTGCAATGTTTATTCTGATCCTGCACATATGTTTGCACACAATTTCTGTCTGTCGTAAATTGGTTCAGCAACATAACTATCATGATATTGTAACAGCAACGATCAACAACAAGCACATTCCGGAAATGGAATGAGAGGGCTGACTAGTATCCAAGGAAATGAGCAAGGTCTTCAGACTGAAGGAGGAGGGAAGGGGGAAGGGGGAAGGGGGGAGGGGGGGGCCTCTCCAGCTGTTGTTTTAGCAATGATGTCAGAGGGTGTCGATGCTTTTCAGTGAGCGTATTTCTTGCCAGCGACGTGTCGCACTCCCCACTTGAAGTTGCCGTGGTAATCGGTCTTCACGAAGGTCCTCACGGGTCCCACTCGGCCTTTTCCATACCCGCCGTGACCTCCTCCATAACCCGCATCACGTTCCACTCGCTCCCGGGACAGGGCCAATGGTGTCTTCACATCTGCATCTGCATACACGTATGATTGGTCATCATATCAAGGGCATCACCGAATGAGGACCCTTCCATACAATTTCATACAATAACTTCTTTTTTAAATTTAATTCCATTCCATACATTGTTACATAGAGTAAGAAGAATCCATTTCTTCATAAGGGAAAGCGTCATACTCGAGGAAGATAAATTCAAGGGGAAGAATTCGGTTATCCGAAAACAATTGGGTATCTGAGTTGATATCGACCGAACATTCTATTTACTGTAGAGAAAGCCGGCATAAATTATATAAACCATAAATAATGGGATTTAAGACCCGTCTATAACTTTCTATGACTATAGACTATGGTAGTTATTTTCTCTGTAAGAAGGCGTATAGAGCTATCTTTTTTTAAAGTTATAATGCGCCATTCATTAATATAAAAAAACAGCAGTGCAGAGGCAGAGGACTGGATGAATCTCTTTTTTTTTTCCCCGATCGCCTTGTCGAGACTCCTGCAGAAGTTGTCGTGCATTGTTAATGGAATCAAAGGAGACAAAGAGAGCTTTCCAACGATGTAGAGTTTGTCGCGATGGCTCAAGGAATTTCGAGCAATGAACGAGAAAAGAGAGGTCTATATCAACTCAAGAAGTGCTGGGGAGCGCTCACTGTTTTTTTTTTGCATGCTACGTAATGATTTTTTAGTTAATATGAAGCTGCTATATTCTTTCCATTTATAACTTTCCCTATCCACAGGTTCTATAACTTTCGCGTTATGCGATCCACAAAAGCAAATGTGAGTAAATCATGAAATCTCTTCTGTCCATTTGATTGAAAGGGAAATGGATATGCAAGGAATTTTTGCAACATTCTCACGCTTTTACGCAGGATTTTACTGAAAGGGATTCCGATCGCAACGAATAACAAAAACCAGTGACGGTTCAGAGCCAAAGTCACAGGTGGGAACTAGCTCCAATACTGTACGCCTATATGGTAAAAGCAGTCCTTAACTCCATGTCACTCCATGTCCAGAATAACGGGAAAATCAGCCTCTATATACTTGGACGATTATTATAGCCCCTTTGCTATACCCACAACTTTCCATGCTTTGGAATTTGAAAGAGAGATGGACTGATTCAGGAGACTTCATATGGAATCGTTCTTCGAATGGAATAAAGTGGAATTATCTTGCCCACGGGTGGGTGGGGAAAAGCTTTTCAAAAATGATTCCTCTAAAAGACCTCAACTAGAACACGCAATTGCTGCAAAACTGCTATTTCAATGCATGATTTTAAAATGAGAGAACTTGACAAACCCTCATCGATTTCCTCGACGTCGACGACGTCTTCCAAGGGAACAGCTCGTCTCAAGAGATGATGGGCAATGGGCTCTTGAGAGGAAACGAGGGAACTCAGTCCCATCACCCCCACCAACACCAGGAACATCTGCAGCCATTCAAAAATAAAATAGTCATCGGAGCATTGTCACGTATTTTACGGTAACTTGATTGTGATACCCAACTGATATGGAAGACTGAGAAACCTATGTTTCAAATTGTAGTCTTGAAACGAGAGATCTCATGCTTTACAGTTGGTCACCTTTTCATTTTAGTGCCTCATTTTTCACTTCCTGATGATTTAAGATCGTTCTTGTAAGACAAGGATCATATTTTGTCAGTTGCAATATTATTTTTGAGAATATGAACGTACATCTTGAGAGCCATGCTTTCGTTTTCACGAACTCAGGAAAAATGAAATAATAAGCATGAAAACTGTTTCGAGACTTCATCCTGCGTGGCTATAATTCAAGCACCAAGCCGTTGTTGCAAACAGAGGAAATTGACCAGTTTGGGATTGGAAACTGGGCGGTTTTTTTTCTAAATGTTTCGAGTATACTAAAGATCGAGAAGATATACAACTTGGCTCGGAATTTTCCAATTTTCCACGCACACAACACGCAAGAATTCCCCCTGAAAAAGTATAGCGGACTCACCAGTTTGAGGGAGGCCATTTCGAAAACCCGAGAGCAGAGCGAAGGGGATCTTTCTTCGAGGAAAAGGCACTGCAGTTAATGCACATAGGGGAAGTGTGCCAGAGACTTTTCCTTATATACTAGCCAGCTGGCAATTAGGGGAAAGAAAAGAAAAGCGATCGACAGTCATGGCTCGAGGGGGTCTCTTTCCGCTTCACGGCCTTTCTAGTTTCTGCCATCATAGACGACGGCCAATAAGGCCCAAAGGACTTGGACTCATCACTTTCTTCACCCTCGTGCTTAACCCGTTTACAAGGCCACATCCTCCCTTCACATGGTAAGAGCGATTTTGAACCATCCCGAGAAAACCAGCACGGGCCAGTACCTCCGGCATGAAGAAAAGTTGTAATGACAGAAAATGCACCGAATGTAGCTTGTATGGGTTCAAAATGGAACGGAGAGAATCATAAATAGAAGCAGTTCTTGTTTTATGCATACTTGTCCAGAGATATCGACATTAATTCGTGTTATTTTCGCATGACTATCCATTTATTTCATTGTAAGCCGTTCGCCTTTCATAGCCGTATTCGCTATGATTGTCTAAATTTTCACTCAGCAATACCAAATAATGCATTTTGAAAGTCCCTTGATCTAAGAGAACACCGTGATGCCCAGGTATTGAAAAGTAGAATAATGGAAAAGCACGAATTTCAATCGCACATGGAGGAGTTGCTCGCGATCGAGCATTGTTTGGTATATTTATATTTCACCGTTTGGATGATTATAGGTCTGCATCCGAGATCTTCTGCTTGAAGTTTCTTTCATCCGCATGCAGCTAGTCTACATTTGAGGAAGAGCATCAGTGCATGGTGGAATGGCCTTTGCAGGTACACCACGACGACCTCAAAACTACAAAGGCCCATGCGAATAAAGGGAAGATTTTTTCCTCCTCAAGACCCCGATTCGGAACGCTGTCCTGATGGTCCTTCTCCCAGTGGGACGACAACCGTGACCGTGACGCCAACAGATGACGTGAAGGAGAGAGAGAGAGAGAGACCAAAGCCACACTTTCCCTTCACTTCCCCTCCATCCGTGCAGTAAAAGTCCACTGAATGGAACACCGAAAGCTCCATACGGACTCGCGATGTGTGGACCACAAGATTTCTTTCTCACGATAGGAAGCATGCTATCTTACAGGGGTCTCTGAAAATGGCACATTAAGATTGGCCATATGCCTATTCTGAGTATCGCGATGAAAGCTGCTTCGACAATCTTCTTACAGGATTAGCTCTTACCAAGTGAAGGAACGGTTTTTCTTAAACGCTGATCCTCTACTTAATACGCAGGCATTCTCATGTAACATAAACTGAGTGGCACAAAAATGCCCGTCCTGTTTGACACTATGAAATCGACTGTATAAATGCTAGGGTTTTCATTTCTTATATCACATAGAAAATGCTTGAATTTATTTCCGGAAAGTTAATGGCCTAAAATGAATGGCTTAAGCCATTTGAATAAAAAGCAAGTCATTGAAACTCAAGGTATAAAATTCAGCTTTTCCATTCATGGCGCTGTAGCAGTGTCAGCTGCGCTCCACAGATGTGTCTAACCCCCCTACAAACATCCTCTTAATGGTTGCATCCCTACTGCTTTGTTGTTGACTGTTCAGTATCATGTCGCAGCTGAAAAGAATGGCACAGCGATTAAGGCAGATTTTTAAAGGAAGGGCAGTAGAACAAAGACGTAGTCAGTCCCCAATCAAATCCGCTTTTACTGTATGTGTGGCCTCATGGAACGGTTTAGAGTGAGTCTGGTCACTCTAGATTTTCCTATCATGAAGTCATTTTTGGACAATAGTGAGAGCGTAAAATGTCTCAGCGAATGTATCTTCGAAAGAAGAGCTTCAATTAGGTTCGTTTAGTTATTCGGCGATATCGGTAGCGGTGGAATGTTTTTTCCTCACGTAGCGACAGCTTTTTTCGACCGCATTTTCTTAAGGGCTCATGAAGGCCTCGAGAACATCTGATTATTGTCACCAATATTGATATTCCACCTCTGATGTCATTCGATATCGTCGCTGTCATTTTGCTCAAAAAAGGACCAAGAATTGCACATAAATCAATAGTTTCTTGAGTATTTAATTTTCTGGCCATTGCCGATGTGTTAAACATCTACTTTTCGCACGCGTGGAAGTGATCATCATGGAGCGGTCTTCTGCCTCTCTCCAAGATTTTTACGAATTCCCTTCGTGGTGGTTATTGTGATCTTCTGGGTGCAGACCCTGATTCTTGATTCTTGCTCAAGATGGTATGGACCTTTGGTGAAGAAGCTGGATGTACCCCATAGATCCTGGGCATCATAAAAAATTCAGATTGTGGAAGAGCGCACAAGACCGTCTGCAAGGGCCCAATGGGCATTCAACTACCCGGTATACGTGTATCCTTCTCAGATAAATAATGGTTCGTGGTTCTGAAATTTCTGTAGATCCGGTATGTACAGTATGTGCAAAACCCACTCAGAAGACAGAGCCTCTGCCTGAGAGTCAGAAATCTCTTGGAATGAGGACATGAACGTTGGCCGAAGTCTCTCCTCCCTGCCTCTATAACCTGCGGGGACTGAAGCTGCTCCCCTTACTTCCGCCAAGAAAGTGAAACCTTCGCTCACTCACTCCACTTCCATCACGGTTTTTCCGAAGAATTTCTGAATTAAATAAACTATACATTTTAGTTTTTTTTCTAAGGATGGAAGCGCTTCTGCAGTTTTTTCGGCGTGAGGGGCCTACGTCGAGACGAATTCTTCGGATGCTCGGCGGCCTGCCAGCTTTCACAAAAGAATGGGGTCGAATGACGTCAGCGTATCAATCTGCGACCCGAAAATCTCACAGTAGATAATCCTGCAGGCTAAAAAAACTATGTCATTCTGTCTGGCATCGCTGGACCATCATTTGAAGCATTTTAAACGAGGTCTCCTCTTTAACCCAAATCTATATTCATATGGGTCTCAGTGAAATCTGCTCAGGAATATCAACTCACTTGTACAATTTGTGAAGCTGCTTTTCGTCCCTTCCCCAATCCCCAACAGATAGAAATAATATAAAAATCTCACGTGGATTAGACGCACAGGTACACATGTGCTGTTTACTCGTGCTACTACTCATGCGCAGTAGGTTCAAGTTCAAGTAAAACGTTCAAGCAAGGAGTCCTAGGTCAGGGGTTCCAAACTTCTTGACAAAGCAACCCATATTTCGCTTATTCAAGACCCTGCGGTTCACGAGGAAGGTCGTTGACCAATAGGAAAGTACTGTATACAGTGGGTACAGTATCTATTCCATCAGAAACGAATCAAATATTTCTTGCGTGCACGTGGTAATCAAAATACATTCCCCTCATTTGAGAGGCACGTCATGAGAAATGCCTTCTGGTCTCGAAGGAGGCAGATAATACTAGAGCAACGAGTCTGTCGCCTGCCTCCTATGAGTTTCATTTGTCCTATCGTACCCTGCTTATATGAATGGCCATACCGTTTGATATTTTAACACCGTTTGAGAAGTATGAGAATCTGCGATTTACACTAAAGAAAGAAAAATCCAGAAAATGTCTGTTGACTGCGTGACTGCTGTAAGGGTATGCGCAGAGCCTATTGAGCTATGACACGGTTAAAAAAGTGGTTCAGAGTTGCAAATGGAACCACTTCACGGTTCCGCGGCAAGAAATGATTCTAGAGAGTTCTACGAGGTAGAACTGTGCCAAACGAATCCAAAGACGCTTGTCTCAAACCTTGACCAGTTCCCAAACCAATTCGCCTCTCTTGAATAATCTTAAAAGGCTTGAGATTTGGTAAACTTAAACGGTTTCTCCTTAAACTCAGTCATATCTCGAGTCCTGCTGTGCTGTCTTTTCTCATATTTGGTATGAGCCGTCGTCGATTCTACCATACCATATGGAGCGGGGGTGGGCAATTATTTTGGCTGGAAGGCCACTTCATGAGTTTTGGTGAGCTTCAAGGGCCGCACTCCAGTATCTCAGAGAATACCTCAAAAGCACAATCTTTGCTTGTCGGTCCTATTCCCTCTTTTGCAATAAAAACTGGTTGGCAGCTTCTACTACCTCATCACGTTTTTCGACCATCCAGATTCTCACAAAAAAGACTGCCAAGTATATCGCTCTCAAAAAAATTTCATGTTATTCATCTTCCTTAGTGTTAAAGTGCACGGTGGTGTAGCCTATAGGACTATCTGTGACAAAATCCATCCGAATTCTAAAAAATCTCACTCAGTCGGAACAGGTAGATTCCGACAAACGAAATGAGCAAGCTCAGCTCATTCATTGATTACAATAGGTCCTTTCAGTGACTAAACTAACTAAAATGTTTCCTTTTGTTAGACAGAGTGGCGACCGGATAAAATCATTTGCCGGGCCGTATTCGGCCCGCTTGCCGTATTTCGCCCACATTTTGATATAGAGGGAGAAGAGCATAAAATTAATGCTGCAGAAATCACGGGCAACTAACATCGATACCTACATTAACAGCGAAATATGTAATAAGCAACAGATGTTGTTGACAACACTTGCTGACTTCACCCCTATAGGGGGAAGTCGCTACTTCCGTGGCGAGTAAAACACTGTTTTGTGTAGACGTGTTTACTGTAGAGTGATCGTCGCGGCGTGAAATGGCTGACGTTATGGAGCAACGTGTGTGCATCAAGTTCTGTGCGAAACTTGGAAAAACGGCCTTGCATCAGGAGTTCGTTCCACAAGAACAGACAGTCAATCAGGTGTTTTATTTGGACGTTCTGAAACTCCTAAGAGATGGAGTTCGACGGAAACTGGATGAAAAATGGAAGTCGAGTTCGTGGACGTTGCATCGCGACAATTCACCGGCTCAGACGGCATTCTCCATAAGGGAATTCTTGGTGAAGCACAACATTCCACCGGTTCCCCAGCCACCCTATTCACCGGATTTAGTACCAAGTGACTTTTTTGTGTTCCCCAAACTGAAAAGTACCCTACAGGGAAAGAGATTTCAGGAAGTGCTAGCGATCATACAAAGTGCGACACGGGAATTGA